TATATATATAGTACATTTTGTTGGTACTGGAAAGCATTCTACCACCAAAACTCATAACAGCACACATACTGCATGTTTTGATGTTGCWTTTCAAAGCTGTGCAGCAAGATACAAAAAATAAAAAATATATTAAAAGGAAGATAAAAAAGGTGATTCAACGCTGATGCATTGGCATCATTAATACATAAACACTGGGCAAGAACACAACGATCTCTACTTCAGTTTGATCGCATTTTGCAAATGATGTCATACAAATGATATTCTTGTGCAGCAAAGATTACCGTTTCAAGAAATCAAACAGTAAGCACATATGCCTTCTTGTGTATTTATGCGTAAATATTAAATGATATGTTCTGCTAATCCCAGCCTCTGCTGTGAGGGTGACGAGATTTTCACACACCAACCACCTCCTGCCGACAGTGATGCAGTCGGTCTGTGTGCTGCTTCAGTCGTCCAAAACAGCTCCCTCTCTATCCGAGCCAGCCAGCAGTATTTTACAGCTACAGGAATACAGACTGGAAAGAACTTCGACAAAACAAAAACGCCAAAATAAGATGGAGAAATCAAACTACACTTCCATTTAAGACATATTTAGTCACACAGACCGCTCTGCTTGGGTCACAGTCACATGAAGACAATCTCTTTGAACTAATTTCTGGCGACATTGTGTCGGGCTTGATGAAAGTCCTGTCACTTGTCCTTTGCTAATGGCTGAAAAGTTTCCACTACACCCTTCAAAGTGTGTGTGTGAGCACAGCAGAGAGAAGCTGCTGATTACAGAATGTGCCTCAGCTGGGACTTACGCTTCTCCTGACGTTATGTGCAGCATTATTTGTCAAATTTTTTACTCCGACTGAAAAATGACTTTGACTTTGTTTCATTTTAGTGTTTTTTAAAAAAATACTCCAATAACTTAGGAACCAGCATTCCTTATTTCCTGCTGCCTTTCATGCCAGAGGTTTTAAACTGATCATACTGGAATACAGCGGGTAAAAGAAGTACTGAACACGTCACCATTTTTCTCAGTAAATATATTACTAGAGGCGCTAATGACATGAA